AATCTTAGACACAGGGCCCATAACTCGACGGACCAAAACGAGTTATCTGAAATCTTAGACACAGGGCCCATAACTCGACGGACCAAAACGAGTTATCTGAAATCTTAGACACAGGGCCCATAACTCGACGGACCAAAACGAGTTATCTGAAATTTTAGACCCAGGGCCCATAACTCGACGGACCAAAACGAGTTATCTGAAATCTTCCTGTTCTCCGGGTTTCGGTGACTTCCTTCTTCAACGCCCGCGAGAAATAACGCGGTTAATTTGTGCCTTGAGGAGATTACAGGAGATTAACTTTGCCACTTGTAAGAATTCTAGAATTGATATCCTTTCTAGAACCCTGTGTTGGCGGTTACACCCGCGAGAGAAAAATGGTTTATCTTTTTAACAATGCTCGCCTTATCACCAGGCTTAAATTGTTTCGTTTTACTAAGTTTAAAACCAAGATAAATAGCTTAGGGCGTTCAATTCCGATTACATGTAAATATAAAACTCCAATGATTGTCAGCTAGATGATGTAGGCGACTTTTCAGAGCATACATTACTAACTGGACGGGTCGAATCAGAGATGGTACAGTTTTACATAACATACACCAAATATTTATGCATATTGATCTGGCTATTCAGATTATATTAACGAACATTTTCTCAAAAGTATATATATATATATATATATATATATATATATATATATATATATATATATATATGCATATATATATGCTCTTATATAGGCATATATATAGGCCTATATACATATATATATAGGCCTATATATATATATATATATATATATATATATGTATATATATATATATATATATGCCTATATATATCCGTAATTTGCTACATCAGTAATTGGCTGTTAAAAGTACGTCATTTTACGATTATCTATATTAGGTAATGCTTTAATTTAAGCACTAATTACATTAATTAATCAAGTTTAAGTGAACGTGCCGGTCCACCGGTGCAGCTCTGATGCGTAACGTCAGGAAAATGTTGAAATTCCCTGGCTAATCCCTGTAAGTAGTTACATGAACATATGCTGTCGCACCTGGGGTGAAGTGTCGCTGTCGTGGTTACGTAAGTAGCAGACGAATTACTTATCGTTTGGTGTTTCTGGTCGGGCTGTCAGCTCGGGATAACGAGGGCTTATCTCGCCTACCCTCTCGTGGAATGCCATTGTCACTTTTGTGTGCTTTCATAGGCACATTTTCGGCATCAAAGATTTTTTCACATGACTTGTGTCTAAATAAGTGAGACCAATTGGTGTCTGGATAAGTGAGACCATTTGGTGTTTGGATTAGTGAGACCATTTGGTGTTTGGATTAGTGAGACCAGTTGGTGTTTGAGGTAGTGAGACCAGTTGGTGTTTGAGTTAGTGAGACCAGTTGGTGTTTGAGTTAGTGAGACCAGTTGGTGTTTGGATTAGTGAGACCAGTTGGTGTTTGGGTTAGTGAGACCAGTTGGTGTTTGAGTTAGTGTGACCAGTTGGTGTTTGGATTAATGAGACCAGTTGATGTCTGGATTAGTGAGACCAGTTGGTTTTGGATTAGTGAGTGTTTGGATTAGTGAGACCAGTTGGTGTTTAAAACTTTTTTTAAAAAATTGACCAGACGGACCATGTGCCTTATAAAGTAGTTATCTGGTCCTCTGGTTCGCGTATATAAAAAAAAGCTTAAGGTCAGCACTTTGCCACGTCGTCCTAGTTTCCCCCAAATCAAGTCAGGTACTCCTCAGAGCTGGGTGAACTCAGCTGCATCCTACGGAATCGGGCCCTCAAATTGAACATGTGACTAGAGTGAGTAATCATGCGCTTCTCCTATGTCGTCCCCTTGTAGTGTACATAAAAATGTTATCAACTCGTAAATACATTGAAACAACAGCCTTAGTTTAGTTATGCCAGCTGATTTACGATGTGAATTGACACAACTTACAGTTAGATTTTTAAAAAAGGCATATTAATTAAACATTTGACTGTGAGAATATGCTATTGGTTTTTCGATATCACATTAATTCAGTACAACATTTCTCCAACTAGCAGGAGAGTTAATGTGACAATAGCACAATTGTTGTGTTTTTTTCGATCCTGCAAGTTGATTATTGGAGACATTTCTCTGTTCCCTCGTGTACCGAGATTCAGGAAATTTAAGGACAATTTAATCTGTGGTTAGGGTGACCTTATTAGCCAGACATGTCTTATCTTCTTTAAATGGAATTTCTGAAAACATTTCAGCCGACCCGTTATGCAAGTTCTGTTAGTATTTTAATCTGACGGTCACAACAAAATGTTAATTATCTGGGTTATCATTTGTACAGGAACATACAAAACTTGGATTATCCGGCAAGGAAAACAAACTTAAATATGTGGAAAATATTTCTTTAGTGAGTGTGGATGGGTTAAAGACTCATACCGTAACATACATCAAAGTCGATTAGTATTAAACTGGAGGTACTCAGGGCAGTCTATTACAGTAATAAGCTGTTCGGTGATCGAATTAACTTTGGTCAATAGGATAGACCATATAATTATTAGAACAGTGGTTTGTCGAGTAGGATAGACCATAGAATTATTAAATGCAGATGTAATTTGAACAAAGAGCTAAGTTTAGGTGGCACTGTTTAAACTCTTTTAAACTCTGCCCTGCTCATTTAAGTAGGGGGCACTATAACGATTTTAAGTATTTCCAGCTCAAACTATTAGTGGACACTGTTTAAACTCTTTTAACGCTTCATTAACCACTTGAATTATCTGTCAATATAGGTGTATTATACGGAATTTTACTGGAACATTTTATGACTGTCATCACTTTCAATGTCCCACAATGTCTTTTCCCCCCACTCTTAATCTTGAGCACCAACCAGACCATACTTATGTGAACATTGCTCCCCGACATTCTTATCGTCTACAGCAATCTCGAGGCAATATAAAGACGTTTAAACCACTACATGCTTCTACAAGCACTTGTCAAAGAAAGAAAAAGCAATTGCGAGAGTGTACATAAAAAAATTTCCAACGGAAACTTGTGCTAAAAGCTTTTCCTTGCTAGTTCAACAGACATGACTCAGTAAACAGGGGATCAAGTAGGCTGTGTTGATCGTTGAGTCAATTGTCGGTGCAATATTTACAGTCAACATACTTCATGTGATGTCAAACAGATAAATCTTGCCAGAGGTCTAGGCTATATATATATATATATATATATATATATATATATATATATATATATATATATATATATATATATATATATATATATATATATATATATATATATATATATATATATATATATATATATATATATGTGTGTGTGTGTGTGTGTGTGTGTGTGTTTGTGTGTAAATAAATACGTATATATAATTGTCTATTGGTATATGTATATACATTTACAAATAAACACACACACACACATGTACAATACATGCATACTGACCGGTATGTTTAGACAAGCTACAAAGCAAGACTATAAAAACCTGCCCAAAAGTTATGCTGCATGTTGATTTGAATCCGTAGTTATGCATTGAATGTTTTAAACGTGATCTTTTGTTGTTAGTTAACAGGTCAATAAAACATTATG